TCGGGTCTATAGTTAACCTACTCATAGCTGGACTATATCGGGTCCATAGTTAACCTACTCATAGCTGGACTATATCGAGTCTATAGTTAACCTACTCATAGCTGGACTATATCGAGTCTATAGTTAACCTACTCATAGCCGGACTATATCGGGTCTATAGTTAACCTACTCATAGCCGGACTATATCGGGTCCATAGTTAACCTACTCATAGCTGGACTATATCGAGTCTATAGTTAACCTACTCATAGCCGGACTATCTGGGCTTTATAGTTAACCTAGACGGAGAAATGACGGATATTGCTTGCTGGGTGGAGACCTCAGCATCTGATACATGGAATCAAAGCATTGAGAGTGTATTCTGATGTAAAGAGCTTTTTTTGTGCTCCTCGGGTTTCTATCGAGTGACAGAAGTTCCCCAGGCGAGAATCAGGAGGACCGTGTGAATTATTAATGAAGAGCCGCTCATCAAACACACGCGTGTGCCAGAGAGAGTCAGCGGGAGACTCAATCTGCTCCATCTGTCTCTCGCTCTACACACACAAACATTACAGGGTCTTTGACACTAGCATGACTGAAATACCACAGCGTGTTTTTAACATTACGCTGATATTAATAGTTCATTTAGAAATGAAAATACTCTGTCTTCTCAGATCAGTGCTGTTGTCCAGTGTAAGTAAGGAATGGTGTATATCCTTCTGGGGGTTATTGCGAAGTAAAGTCTTGATCAGCCTGTGTTTTGCGTTTACAAACTGGGACATGAAATATTGATATGAGAAGAAACCCAGTAACACTTTACAATAAGGTTCATTAGGTAACATTAGTTAATGTATTTACTAACATAAACTAACATGAGCAATACATTTGTTACTGTATTTATTAATATTTGTTAATGTTAGTTAATAAAAATCCAGCTGTTCATTGATTGTTCATGTTAGTTCACAGTGCATTAATAATATTAACTAATACAACCTTTGATTTTATTAATGCATTAGTAAATGTTGAAATTCACATTAACTAAGATTAATAAATGTTAACTAATGTTAACTAATGAACCTTATAGTAAAGTGTTACCAGAATCCCTTTTAAAATGATTATCTTATAATCCATTACAGTGTACTAAACAATCGTTCTAGCAACAAGGCGAACACTTGAACAATATTACCATAAGCCTGCATAAACTGAAGTCCTCCGGGTTTATTTTACAGTAAATACAGTCGATGACTGAGGCAGCGTTTGAATAAATAAGAGAGACCAGAAGCGTCTCAAATACCTGGAGCAGAGTGTTGCTATTGACGACGGTCGTTATTGACGAATAACTGACCTCGGAATGTCACGACTGACCAATCAGAATCAAGCATTTCAGAGTCATGTAATACGATTTTTCCCCCCATATAATACATAAAACACAATAAAACTATCACCATTTGCTGAAAAGAGAACAAGATTTGTGAGATGGTTGAATGATTCCTGTCAGTATCACGACACATCAATAAAGAGAATCCTGCTATAAACGAATAAAGCACTGAGAAACCATCATTTTTCCAGGAGTTTCCCTGTTCTCCGCGCGTCCTCAGGCTATTACAGGGTTAATAGTGGGATGAGTGTTGCCATGGCGACGGCACAGATCTGTGTTTGTGAAGTCAAAGGACTGTTCAGTGTGTGTGGCCGATAGCTTCATTCAACATCAGCGTCTGCCACTGTCATACGACAACCAGTGTACTAACACCTCAGAAACAGCACAGAATCAGTGTCCCAAATTACACACTTCTCATCTCTGGCCCTCGAGTGCAGCTCGAACCCTCTGCCTGTGACTCTCTGTTAACTCGTTCAGGTGTGTTTGATCAGGACTGGAGCTGAACACCTGCAGTGTGCACTATACTCTTATTATGTGCACTATACTCTTATTATGTGCACTATACTCTTATTATGTGCACTATACTCTTATTATGTGCACTATACTCTTATTATGTGCACTATACTCTTATTATGTGCACTATACTCTTATTATGTGTACTATACTCTTATTATGTGTACTATACTCTTATTATGTGCACTATACTCTTATTATGTGCACTATACTCTTATTATGTGTACTATACTCTTATTATGTGTACTATACTCTTATCATGTGCACTATACTCTTATTATGTGCACTATACTCTTATTATGTGCACTATACTCTTATTATGTGCACTATACTCTTATTATGTGCACTATACTCTTATTATGTGCACTATACTCTTATTATGTGCACTATACTCTTATTATGTGCACTATACTCTTATTATGTGCACTATACTCTTATTATGTGCACTATACTCTAATTCTCTTATCATTATACTTTTATATATTTATCCATTTATTTATCCCATAAATGGTATAGAATAGAACAGAATTATGTGAACTGCGTTGTGGGCCTCATGATGAGGCGATAACCTTCACCTAACAAACACTGGGAAGTTTATGAACACACTGCCAAAGTCAATCTGAAAGTCAGATGTAATCAGCCAGACTGAGGCGTGGTGCGCGCGTGAATCTGTGAGCAGGGCGATATCACACACACACACACACACACACTGAGGTGTGACAGCAGCTTCTATTTAAACATCAACACATTCTCAAAAGGTGCTTATGCACTACTCTATGCCACTTCATAGTATAAATAGTTCAAGTAGTGTTCATACTGAAAATGTAAAAAAGAAAAAAAGTGCACTTTAAATGCATTTCTAGGTTCTGTCACTAATGGAGTTCGGCCTCCTGCCACTGTCGCCTCTGGTTAGCTTAGTCGAGGACACTTCATATTCAGCAGTATAACTGATCTGACTGCACTGACGCTGCTGTACGAGGACTGAACTGAGCCGATGATGACATCACTGTTTTCTACAGAACTGCTGTACAGATGAAATTAACGAAATTAATAATTGATGATCTTTACATCGGAACTGAATCAACACTGACCTGAGTTCAGCTGAACAACAGCCTGTTTATCACTGAAGCTGCTTTGAAACAATCTGCATTGTATAAAGATGACTTGACTATAAGTGTTAAGACTGTTGTGTGCCTCCACCGCAGATCTCGTGAGGAAAGGTTCAGATAGGCTGTGCTGGTAGAAGAAGTTAAACCAGCTGTCAGTTTGCAGGCTTTATCTCTGAATCTGAGATGGTTCTGCTGGTCTCTGAAGACCCAGGATGCTTATAGCTGTCCATTAGTGCCTGATCCAAGGCATAAAAATAGGTCAGGACTCTCTCTCTCTCTCTCTCTCTCTCTCTCTCTCTCTCTCTCTGTCTCTGTCTGTCTGTCTCTCTCTCTCTCTCTCTCTCTCTCTCTCTCTCTCTCTCTCTCTCTCTCTCTCTCTCTCTCTCTCTCTCTCTCTCTCTCTCGTTTCAGCTCGTCCTGGTTGCTTTAACTTCAAACCAGTTCCTGATCCGAACACCAGCACAAGTGAAGGTCAGAATCCGCTGACTCTTCCTCACGTGTTCAGTGTTGTCATCGATCTGTGACGTCTGAAACCCATATCACAGAATAACTCCTGTAATCACGAGAATCGGGGACCCAAAGATCTTCATCATTTTCCAGTCCGTTGTGAAGCGTCTGTCTCTCATCTGGTGTGTGTGAGTGTTTAACAGCTCAATGACGCCCTCTAGTGGATCTGAACTGATTAAACATGCAGAGGCTCCAAAGCATCACAGCGAGAGAGAAACATCAGCCTTTATCAGTGACAGTCTGATCCTGATCCTGATCTTAATCCTGATCCTGATCTTAATCCTGATCCTGATCGTAATCCTGATCCTGATCCTGATCTTAATCCTGATCCTGATCCTGATCTTAATCCTGATCCTGATCCTAATCCTGATCCTGTTCCTGATCTTAATCCTGATCCTGATCTTAATCCTGATCCTGATCCTGATCTTAATCCTGATCCTGATCGTAATCCTGATCCTGATCCTGATCGTAATCCTGATCCTGATCCTGATCTTAATCCTGATCCTGTTCCTGATCTTAATCCTGATCCTAAACCTGATCCTAATCCTGTTCCTGATCCTGATCTTAATCCTGATCCTGATCCTGATCCTAATCCTGTTCCTGATCCTGATCTTAATCCTGATCCTAAACCTGATCCTAATCCTGATCCTGTTCCTGATCCTGATCCTGATCCTGAAGTGAAGAAGCTCATGTTCTCTGAGCAGAAGAACAGTTTCTATGAGTGTAAATAGTGCTTTTCTCTTAAAGTAACAGTCCACCCAAATATATACTGTATATATATAATTAATGCATCATTTACACAAACCTGTGTTGTGAAAAACAAAAGATGATATTTTGAGAAATGTCTCAGTGTTTAGTTTTTTTTGTCCATAAGGACAGTCAATGGCTCCGGTGTTTTTTGGTTCCAAACGTTCTTCAGAATATTTTCTTTTGTGTTCAGGTTTAGTAAATGATGACAGGATGATGATTTCTAATGAACTTCTGATCATTTTAACAAAATGCAAAAATAAAAAACAAACACATATACATGCAGTATATCAACTAAAATGACATTAGCACACACACACTCTCTCTCTCTCTCTCTCTCTCTCTCTCACACACACACACACACACACACACACTCTCTCTCTCTCTCTCTCACACACACACATACACACACACACACACACACACACTCTCTCTCTCTCTCTCTCTCACACACACACACACACACACACACACACACACACACTCTCTCTCTCTCTCTCTCTCTCACACACACACACACACACACACACACTCTCTCTCTCTCTCTCTCTCTCTCTCTCTCTCACACACACACACACACACACACACACACACACACACACTCTCTCTCTCTCTCTCTCTCTCTCACACACACACACAGTAAGCTGGTTATTGGATGAGGCCGGTATGATCGAGAGTTGTGTGTTATCTCAGCGGCTCAGAAACTGAGTGTCTGAATGTCAGATGAATGTTTGTGATGAACTGAATTCTGGGATGCAGAAACTCTTACCGTCCAGTTCCTGCGAGCCGTCCTCCTAAAATAACAGTGACAGTGAGGAGACACAAACACTGCAGCTGAACGTGTGTGTGTGTGTGTGTGTGTGTGTGTGTGTTTCTGCAGTGCTCTAAACTTCCTGAAAGATCCAAATATGTCAATAAACCTCTAATCTTAAAGGGTTAGTTCACCCAAAAATGTAAATGATGTGATTAGTGACTCTCCCTCGTGTCGCTCCAAGCCCGTCAGACCTCCGCTCATCTTCGGGACACAGTTTAAGATATTTTAGATTTAGTCCGAGAGCTTTCTGTCCCTCCAGTGTAAATGTGTGTCCGCTATACTGTCCTTGTCCAGAAAGGAGATAAAGACATCATCAAAGTAGTCCATGTGACATCAGTGGGTTAGTTAGAGTGTGTTGAAGCAGCGAAAATACATTTTGGTCCAAAAATAACAAAAACTACGACTTTATTCAGCATTGTGTTGTCTTCCATGTACTGGTTACGAAAATGTATTTTCGATGCTTCAACACACTCTAACTAACCCACTGATGTCACATGGACTACTTTGATGATTTACATTTTTGGGTGAACTGACCCTTTAAAGAAACGTATACGTAACGATACCTTCGGTTTGTCATCCAGGATTTGCTGTCGAATATCTTGATGTTTTTCCAGCAGTCTCTCCAGGCGTTTGGCCTGAGCGTCTTCCAGCTGGAAAACACACACACACACACACACACACACACACACACACACGCTTACAGACGTGTTCCAGTAGGCTACATGTGAAGTTACCCAAAGAACATGTCACGGTCATCACAATACTGAACACAGAACTAACTAACCATTAACTAACCAGTAACTAACCCTAACTAACACCCATCTGTAGCCCAACCCCTTCATGAGCCCTGAATCTGAGTGGTTGGTATAAATCCTCTACATTATTCATCATTCAAAAGCAGAAAAAATATCCTTAGAATAACATACTAAGCAGGATCACAGTTGTTTTGAAAATCCTCATGGCTGTGATTGGCCACAGGTGGTCACATGATGAACAGGGTGATATTGATTCATACAAAACCTCAATAAACTAGAAACTCACACTGGGTGACTTAAAATGCACACACAATCTTGCCAGTTTGACTACTTTTGCTCTGCCCATTAAAATGCTCATCAAGACACTCGATGTTACTCATTTCACTCCTGAATGAATCAGAACGAATCGATTGAGTAAATGATTCACGACTCAATCACTAGAAGCCATTTCTCAATCAGTCTCTGCACACATCATCATAAACTGAGCATCACATATCATTGCTTTGGCACATTAAATAATAACTAAATTATCAAATTACATGCAATCATTTCACACTCAAACACACACCAGCAAAACTCTATGTGCACATGCTTACTCACACCCTTTTAAAAACTGTTCAACTTAAGTTAAACTTACAAATCGAAGATAACAGTGATTTGCTACATTTGTACAGTAAAAATATTGCAATATATTCCGAATGTTAAAAATGAAAGTATCAACACAGTTGGATGTAGCAGAAGTGTGTCAGTGTCATCAGCATCTGTCCAGAACCAGCAGCTGTGTGCTGTAATGACACATGGAGGAGGAGACAGACTGAGTTCTGCACAGGAGAGACGGCCATTCTTCTGTTAGAAACACACACTGTATAAACACTGTGTAACAGGGACTAGTGTTGAGGAAGAGTGAAGGGATTCGGGAGTTTCACTGTGTGCCGAACTGAAAGATGCTCAGGAGAACTGAATGAAAGGTGAGTTAAGTATTGAGAAATGTGTCCTAGAAACTGTCATTTGTTATTTGTCGCCACATACAGGTGTAATTATGTAATTGCAGAAAGAGTCAGTGTAAAATCATAATTTAATGAAAACCATGTTTTTGCCTTCATTTTAAATTGATGAAAGGCTGTTTATTTTGCTGTTCGAACTCTAATGATGATTATACGATCAGTTGCATCTTATTTTTTGTGTTTAGCATATTTTTCCTCTTCTGTACACAAGCTGATCAGAAGAGCTGATGACGGCTTTATGTGTCGCTTACATGTCAGAATATACGGCTACTTTTAATTGTCTGTCAAAGGAGAAAGAGGCTTTGCACCTGCACACTGTGTAATTCTTGCATTGACCAGCAGGGGTTAACTAGTATTCCTGCACTGACCAGCAGGGGTTAACTAGTATTCCTGCACTGACCAGCAGGGGTTAACTAGTATTCCTGCACTGACCAGCAGGGGTTAACTAGTATTCCTGCACTGACCAGCAGGGGTTAACTAATATTCCTGCACTGACCAGCAGGAGTTAACTAGTATTCCTGCACTGACCAGCAGGGGTTAACTAGTATTCCTGCATTGGCCAGCAGGGGTTAACTAATATTCCTGCACTGACCAGCAGGGGTTAACTAGTATTCCTGCACTGACCAGCAGGGGTTAACTAGTATTCCTGTATTGGCCAGCAGGGGTTAACTAGTATTCCTGCACTGACCAGCAGGGGTTAACTAGTATTCCTGCACTGACCAGCAGGGGTTAACTAGTATTCCTGCACTGACCAGCAGGGGTTAACTAGTATTCCTGCATTGGCCAGCAGGGGTTAACTAATATTCCTGCACTGGCCAGCAGGGGTTAACTAATATTCCTGCACTGACCAGCAGGGGTTAACTAGTATTCCTGCACTGACCAGCAGGGGTTAACTAGTATTCCTGTATTGACCAGCAGGGGTTAACTAGTATTCCTGCACTGACCAGCAGGGGTTAACTAGTATTCCTGCACTGACCAGCAGGGGTTAACTAGTATTCCTGCATTGGCCAGCAGGGGTTAACTAGTATTCCTGTATTGACCAGCAGGGGTTAACTAGTATTCCTGCACTGACCAGCAGGGGTTAACTAGTATTCCTGTATTGACCAGCAGGGGTTAACTAGTATTCCTGCACTGACCAGCAGGGGTTAACTAGTATTCCTGTATTGACCAGCAGGGGTTAACTAGTATTCCTGCACTGACCAGCAGGGGTTAACTAGTATTCCTGTATTGACCAGCAGGGGTTAACTAGTATTCCTGCACTGACCAGCAGGGGTTAACTAGTATTCCTGCACTGACCAGCAGGGGTTAACTAGTATTCCTGAACTGACCAGCAGGGGTTAACTAATATTCCTGTATTGACCAGCAGGGGTTAACTAATATTCCTGTATTGACCAGCAGGGGTTAACTAGTATTCCTGCACTGGCCAGCAGGGGTTAACTAATATTCCTGTATTGACCAGCAGGGGTTGACTAGTATTCCTGCACTGGCCAGCAGGGGTTAACTAATATTCCTGCACTGACCAGCAGGGGTTAACTAATATTCCTGCACTGACCAGCAGGGGTTAACTAATATTCCTGCACTGACCAGCAGGGGTTAACTAATATTCCTGTATTGACCAGCAGGGGTTAACTAATATTCCTGCACTGACCAGCAGGGGTTAACTAGTATTCCTGCACTGACCAGCAGGGGTTAACTAGTATTCCTGCATTGGCCAGTAGGGGTTAACTAGTATTCCTGCATTGGCCAGCAGGAGTTAACTAGTATTCCTGCACTGACCAGCAGGGGTTAACTAGTATTCCTGCACTGACCAGCAGGGGTTAACTAGTATTCCTGCATTGGCCAGTAGGGGTTAACTAGTATTCCTGCACTGACCAGCAGGGGTTAACTAGTATTCCTGCATTGGCCAGTAGGGGTTAACTAATATTCCTGCACTGACCAGCAGGAGTTAACTAGTATTCCTGCACTGACCAGCAGGGGTTAACTAGTATTCCTGCACTGACCAGCAGGGGTTAAATAGTATTCCTGCACTGACCAGCAGGGGTTAACTAGTATTCCTGCACTGACCAGCAGGGGTTAACTAGTATTCCTGCACTGACCAGCAGGGGTTAACTAGTATTCCTGCACTGACCAGCAGGGGTTAACTAGTATTCCTGCATTGGCCAGTAGGGGTTAACTAGTATTCCTGCACTGACCAGCAGGGGTTAACTAGTATTCCTGCATTGGCCAGTAGGGGTTAACTAATATTCCTGCACTGACCAGCAAGAGTTAACTAGTATTCCTGCACTGACCAGCAGGGGTTAACTAGTATTCCTGCACTGACCAGCAGGGGTTAACTAGTATTCCTGCACTGACCAGCAGGAGTTAACTAGTATTCCTGCACTGACCAGTAGGGGTTAACTAATATTCCTGCACTGACCAGCAGGAGTTAACTAGTATTCCTGCATTGGCCAGTAGGGGTTAACTAATATTCCTGTATTGGCCAGCAGGGGTTAACTAGTATTCCTGCACTGACCAGCAGGGGTTAACTAGTATTCCTGCATTGGCCAGCAGGGGTTAACTAGTATTCCTGCACTGACCAGCAGGGGTTAACTAGTATTCCTGCGTTGGCCAGTAGGGGTTAACTAGTATTCCTGCACTGACCAGCAGGGGTTAACTAGTATTCCTGCACTGACCAGCAGGAGTTAACTAGTATTCCTGCATTGGCCAGTAGGGGTTAACTAATATTCCTGCACTGACCAGCAGGAGTTAACTAGTATTCCTGCATTGGCCAGTAGGGGTTAACTAATATTCCTGCATTGGCCAGCAGGGGTTAACTAGTATTCCTGCACTGACCAGCAGGGGTTAACTAGTATTCCTGCATTGGCCAGCAGGGGTTAACTAGTATTCCTGCACTGACCAGCAGGGGTTAACTAGTATTCCTGCATTGGCCAGTAGGGGTTAACTAGTATTCCTGCACTGACCAGCAGGGGTTAACTAGTATTCCTGCACTGACCAGCAGGGGTTAACTAGTATTCCTGCACTGACCAGCAGGGGTTAACTAGTATTCCTGCACTGACCAGCAGGGGTTAACTAGTATTCCTGCACTGACCAGCAGGGGTTAACTAGTATTCCTGCATTGGCCAGCAGGGGTTAACTAGTATTCCTGCACTGACCAGCAGGGGTTAACTAGTATTCCTGCACTGACCAGCAGGAGTTAACTAGTATTCCTGCATTGGCCAGTAGGGGTTAACTAATATTCCTGCACTGACCAGCAGGAGTTAACTAGTATTCCTGCATTGGCCAGTAGGGGTTAACTAATATTCCTGCATTGGCCAGCAGGGGTTAACTAGTATTCCTGCACTGACCAGCAGGGGTTAACTAGTATTCCTGCATTGGCCAGCAGGGGTTAACTAGTATTCCTGCACTGACCAGCAGGGGTTAACTAGTATTCCTGCATTGGCCAGTAGGGGTTAACTAGTATTCCTGCACTGACCAGCAGGGGTTAACTAGTATTCCTGCATTGGCCAGTAGGGGTTAACTAGTATTCCTGCATTGGCCAGTAGGGGTTAACTAGTATTCCTGCATTGGCCAGTAGGGGTTAACTAGTATTCCTGCATTGGCCAGTAGGGGTTAACTAATATTCCTGCACTGACCAGCAGGAGTTAACTAGTATTCCTGCATTGGCCAGTAGGGGTTAACTAATATTCCTGCATTGGCCAGCAGGGGTTAACTAGTATTCCTTCACTGACCAGCAGGGGTTAACTAGTATTCCTGCATTGGCCAGCAGGGGTTAACTAGTATTCCTGCACTGACCAGCAGGGGTTAACTAGTATTCCTGCATTGGCCAGTAGGGGTTAACTAGTATTCCTGCACTGACCAGCAGGGGTTAACTAGTATTCCTGCATTGGCCAGCAGGGGTTAACTAGTATTCCTGCATTGGCCAGCAGGGGTTAACTAGTATTCCTGCAGTATTGATCAGTATTTTAGTATTAGTATATTAACTAGTCCCTGATAGCCACTCACCCGTCTGATGGACTGCACCACCTCATTCACGTGCGATCTGTTCATCTCCATCTTTCTCCTACAGAACAGGAGGATTTTACATGTCAGTGTCAAGCAGTGAGTAAAGATGATGGATCAACAACATCTGGGGTTTGCGCAGGAGAATATTCCTGTTCAACAAACAGTCATCTGGTAAGAATGGTGATATTGTTATTTCGATGGTCTGCTTTAAACATTCTACTGACTATAAGTAACTTTGCAACTACATATCAACCAACACCTAACCCTAGCCTTACACCCCACTAATACTCTAATGAGTTAGTTGACATATAGTGGCAAAGTTAAAAATAGTTAGTAGAATGTCTAAAGTGGACCATCAAAGTAAAAACGAATGTCGTTCAGGCCAAACTCGGATCGACTGGTGGAGATGTTGATCTGTGAACTCGTCTAGCATGATAATATAAGACTGATGGGTTAAGTCACTCACTCGTCAGTCAGAGTTTTCTCCAGCGTTCTGGCTTCCTGAAACTTCTCCTGTCGTCTCTTGTCCATCCGTTTCTTCAACTCTTTGTTTTCTCTGAAGAAAATGAAACCAGAACCGCTCAAAAGTTATTTTGAAAAACACTGGAGATTTCTCACAGCATCTTCTTTACTGTTCCACAGAAGAAAGAGAGTCATGCGTGTTTGAGCGTCGTGAGGGCGAGTGACAGATGTGCGGTGATGTTGACTTACTTCTCACACAGATCTTTGAGTTTCTTCAGCTGGTTACTCTGACACTCTTCCGCCACGGTCACCAGCTTCTCTACCAGCTACAGATGAAGAGAAACACAACGTGTGTGTGAGCCAACACTGTTCACAGACCGTCTGATACACACTGACCAGGCAAACTGCACTATATCTGATCATTAAATGATCTGTTACTTCATCTGTTTTGTGATGTTTAGTGCATGCAAGTTTTAATAAATCACGGAGACACTCGTTTCATGCGACTTGCTGTTTTACTCAACTTTGTTATTCTCCTCTTTTACAGGTTACCACCCAACACATCCTTAGACTGCTAGCGCCATCCTCAGGTAAGGAATAATAATACAATTACCATACATCACATCTCCCCTCTTAAGAAATAAATTCCCTTACAAACTAGTTTAAACACATCTAGTATTATTATTATTTTCTCAATTACACTCTATAACTTTAATCAGTGTTGTTCGCATAACCCATTAACTATAAACATCCCTTTACTCTTTAACTCCTCTTTAATGCTTTCATGGAGAATAGAGTTTTGGTGGTCTAATCAGTCTACCCCATCTTGACCTTTTGACCTGTTCTTCCTTGTCCACAATTGGTGTTACAGGTCTTTTCTCTGGTGACAGTGCAGGTGATTGCACTGGAGTGCTACTCTCTGCAAACTCTCGGTTTGCTGAAGAACATTCCTCCAACTCTGTAGAGCTTGGTTGTGGAATTGTCACTTCTCTGGTTTTCAGCAGGTGTCGTCGATTTCTTCTGAAGGTGTTTCCATCAGGCCTTTGAATCACATATGATCTCGGTTTTTCATGACTCCTCAACACAATTGCTGGTTGCCAGTTGTTTTTGACTTTTACTTTCACTTTCTCTCCATCTGCTATAGGTGGCAACTGTTTTGCTCCACAGTCAAAGTAACTTTTCTGTTTCAGCTGTCTGTCCTTGATGTCTTTATGTACATTTCTGTACAGTTGTGGTCTCAACAGCTGTGTTGATGTAGGCAATTTTGATTTCAGTCTTCGACCCATAAGCATCTGTGCAGGAGATAGTTTCACACCATCCATAGGAGCATTTCTGTACTCCAATAGAGCAGTATAAGGATCCCTTTGGCTCTCTTGTGCTTTCTTTAACAGGTTCTTGACTGTCTGGATTGCTCTTTCACTTTGTCCATTTGCCTGTGGAAATCCAGGACTTGAGGTGGCATGTCCAAACTCCCAGTTTTCTGCAAATGCAACATGACATCATGACTTTGCGTAAACATACACGCCACTTTCAATTCAAGTGGCATGTTATCTATACGCATTTTGCGCTATCCGCGTGTATGTCCACGCCGAAATCTTTTGCGTGTATGTCTACGCCATTAAATGTCCGAGTGATTCCGCGTGTATGTGTACGCCGTTAAATGTCCGAGCGAAACGAAGCAAAATCTATATCTACATCTGTGGAGCGATATTTCTTTTCCTAGGATGGTAGGAGAAGACTCATAAATGGTATTAACCCCAGTGACGGGTAGGTTTAGGGACGGGGTTGGGGTAGGTCATATATTTATATATACATAATACAGTAATATAACGTTAAGTCAAAGGCGTTGATAAACACGCTGAAAAGCGATTATGTGTGTTGATAGCACGCCAAAAATGAAAATACGAATTGGCGTGTCATACATACGCCATTTCATGAGATCAGTCTGGCAAATGCTTTGAATTCTGCACTCGAGAATTGTGGACCATTATCCGACACCACTTCATCCGGAATCCCATGTCTCGCAAAGATGGATTTAAGAGCTGTCACCACATGTTTGCTTGTTGTCTGTGTGAGTTTAGCAATCTCCGGAAACTTCGAAAAGTAATCTACACACATCAAATAGTCACCTCTGTCGAAGTGGAACAAGTCTACTCCTACTTTCGCCCATGCTCTGTCCGGAATGTCATGGCAGATGAGTGGCTCTTTGGTGTTACTCCGTCTGAAAGTATTACAGATAGCACACTTCAACACGACATCCTCAATTTGTTTTGCCATGCTGGGCCAGAACATCACATCTCTTGCCCTCTCTTTGCATTTGACAATACCCAGATGTGATTCATGAACTCTTTTTAGCATGTCTGCTCTCAAGCTTTGTGGAACTACTATTCTCCAGTTCTTGAAGAGTAACCCATCGGAACAGGTAAGTTCTTCTCTGTAAGTCCAGTACTTTCTTATGTCTGCGGGAACTTGTCTTATGTCTGCAGGCCATCCTGACTGAACTACTTCCACGACTTTTTGCAACTCTTCATCTTCTGCGGTTGCTGTTCTGAATGTATTCTGTTTTTCCTTTGAGATTGGCAGACAAACTGACAAAGTATGAACTTGTAACTCATCTTCCAGAAGTGGTTCCGTTTGTTCTTGTAGGTAGGCACGACTCAGAGTGTCTGCGATGTACAACTCCTTTCCAGGCTTGTAACTAACACGTAAATCATATAGCTGCAATCTCATCAGCATTCTCTGCAGTCTCGGAGGAGCTTTTTGGAGAGACTTTTTGAACACCGTCTCCAAGGGTTTATGATCCGTCTCCACTTGTACTGTCTTACCATAGACATACTGATGGAACTTCTCGCAGCCATAGACAATCGCCAAGAGCTCTTTTTCTATTTGGGCATATCTTTTCTGACACTCAGTGAGAGACCTTGAGCCGAATGCCACCGGATGTCCTTCTTGCAGCAACACTGCTCCCAGACCTTCAGCGCTTGCGTCCACTGACAGCATTATCTCTTTGTTGACATCAAAGTACTTTAACACTGGGGCATTGCTCACAAGTGACTTCAGTCTTTCAAAGCTCTTCTGTTGTTCTGACTCCCAATGCCATGCTACATCTCCCTCTAGCAGTTTCCTCAATGGAGCATTGATGTCTGACATGTTTGGAACGAACTTGGACAGATACTGAAGCAGCCCTAAAAACCTCATCAGTGCAGCTTTGTCCTCTGGCTCTGGCATGTTCTGTATCGCTCTGACTTTCTCTTTGTCTGGCTTCAACCCTTCTGCAGTCAGAATGTGTCCAACATAGCTGACTTCAGTCAACCTGATCTTGCACTTGTTTTTGTTCAACTTTAGATTGATGTTTCTGATTCTGTCTAACAGTTGTCTTAGTCTCTTATCGTGTTGTTCCATGTCTTCACCCCACACCAGAATATCATCCACTATGTTCAAGACTCCTTCTAAGCTTTCTAGTCTTTGTGCAATGCATTTTTGGAACACTTCTGGAGCTGACACTATGCCAAATGGAAGTCTCAAAAAACGGTATCTTCCAAAAGGAGTGTTGAATGTACATAGTTTGGAGCTCTCATCATCCAGGGGTACTTGCCAGAATCCATGATTGGCATCAAGCACTGAGAAGACTTTAGCATTTGGCATCGCAGCTACTATTTCTTCAATTGTACGCAATGGATAGTGTTCTCTCTTGATGGCTTTATTAAGATCTTGTGGATCGATGCCGATCCTGAGTTTCTCTGGCTTCACAACTGTAACCATACTATTAACCCAATCAGTGGGCTCGGTTTGCTTCACTATGACTCCAAGATCTTCCATTCGTTTCAGTTCCATTTTGACCCTGTCCTTTAACGCTATAGGTACTTTTCGTGGTGCGTGAATGACTGGAGCAACATTTGGATTGAGCTGTATGTGATGCAGTCCTGGCACACATCCTAAACCAGTAAACACATCTTGATATTCACTCAGAATGCAAGTTTGGTCTTTGTTCTCTACTTTGTACACTCTTTTAATCAGTCCAAGTTTTGAGCATGCTTCTCTTCCCAGAATTGCTGGTGAATCTTCATCTACAACTTGGAAGTCTAGATCAAACAAAGTGTCCTTGTAACCACATTTGAGCCTTACTTTACCCTTTGTCTCCATCGTGTGGCCAGAATATGTAACTAACGTGCAGTTTGACTTCTTTAGAGTTGTTGTCTTGTTAGAGGTTTTCTCAAAATCTTTAAATGACAACACGTTGCACTCTGCTCCTGTATCTAGCTTAAAGGTAAGTATGCAGTTGTTTATTTTGAATTCTTGAGTCCATTTCTTGTTTTCCTTTTCCATGGTAGAAACTGTATTCATTTGTGTCAGCCATTTGCTAGCTGTTCACTTCGTTCAATTTCGATGGTACCTATAAACAATTCAGCATCTTCTTGTTGTTCTATCTCATGGACTTTTTTCTCAAATCTTCTAGGTTTGCCTTTTTGTTGTGGTGTTTTGCACATGCGGCTAAAATGGTTCTTCCTCGAGCACTCGTTACAAATTTTGCCATATGCCGGACACTTCCTTGGCTCATGTACATAACCACGTCTCGTGCACTCTTCCTTCTCTTTCCCTGTGTGCTTGAAATTCGCCTGTCTGACAGTTGACTTTGTTTTTGTGATTTTGTTCACAGCCACTTCTGCTTCTTCATGCAGCACTTTCAAATGGCTTTGTGTTATTTCGTTTGCACGACAGATATCCACAGCCTTTGCTAGGTTCAAATCTGTTTCCCTGAGAAGCCTAGCTCTCACGGTGTCATTGTTAACACCACAGACAATGCGATCTTTAATCAAGTCATCATTTAATCTTCCAAATTCACAGTCTTTCGCCTTATTTTTCAAGTCCGTCACGTATGCATCAATGGTTTCGTTCGGTCCCTGTGCTCTCGTGAAAAACATATGCCTCAGATACGTAATATTCTTTCTTGGCTCACAGTATTCTCTAAACTTCTCTTTGAGCACTTCAAAATCATCCACATCATCATCAAAGTCCATGGTATTAAATACCTTTATGGCATCATCTCCCGCCACGTGAAGAAATGTCGCACATTTTACCTTGTCACTCTTTTCTGCAATGCCAGTTGCAATGAGATACAGATCAAACTTTTGAATCCACGTTCGCCAGTTTTCCGCCAGATTTCCCTCGAAATCCAAACTGTTAGGAGGTTTTAACTGATCCATAGTTTTCTTCTGACACCATGTGATGTTTAGTGCATGCAAGTTTTAATAAATCACGGAGACACTCGTTTCATGCGACTTGCTGTTTTACTCAACTTTGTTATTCTCCTCTTTTACAGGTTACC